AAAGGTGCAGACCAGTCCTGGGCCTCGGTTGCTTCGTGTGTAAAATAAGGGAGTTGGTTTTCCTTTCGTTATCAAATGATTTTGAAATTTACTTTCCTACTATCTATGAGGGCAAGAGGAACAAGTTTACAGGATTCACAACCAGTTTATGAGGACAGGAAAAATAAGGGTGTTTAAACGTCAACGACAGACAGAAGGAAGTATTTAACGAAAGACAGGTTATCTGCGGGGAAAGACTTGGTAACCAAATTTTGGTGCAGGAAGTCAAGTCTTCTTGATACCTGAGGGCTAGACCTCAAACTAGACCTAGAAGTTCAATTGCTTTTTGATGGAAACTTTGTTGAAATAGTTGAATGTTATAGACGCTTCTACCTTTTAAACATGTTGACTATTGTATGGTTGGTATCCACATGAACAGAGAGAAAAGGGTATAAAAGTAGAGCTGGAGAACCACCAGGTAAAACACGGGGTGGATGCTTTAACCTAAGAGAGGGCACGAAGTACCTCCTCACTCCCCACTGGGACAGTCGGGGAGGTCAGGTACCCAGGACGGGTGTATATTAGCATCAACACAAACCACTACTGAGAACTTCCCCCCGAGTTCTTTCTCTTCCCAATCACATACACGTGTTCATTTAGTCACCAATTCTAACCTATCTTTTTCTCTGTGAGTTCAAAATTAGCGAGATTTTACAAAATAGGTTTTTATCACATTGTGATACTATTCGCAAAAGAAAAATCTTCAAAATTCATGCCAGCTTTTGCCTTTTGAAGTACAGGCATTACAAATTTCAATTCAAAAGTCAAAATTTTAGTGTAACCCAAGTATTGAACATGCTTTTCACACACCTGAAAATAGTTACTGAATCTGACAGCGAGCCAACAGCAACATCAGGGTAGGAATTTCTATCAAGGTCCATGTTTCCAGCAATTGAATATCCAAAAAAACGTGAATTACCCTCGAGAACCTAAAAAGAACAGGTCATCAGAATGGACACGGGGCCACCAAAATGAGCTTCTTACCACCCATACTTTGAAAAAGACACACAAGTTTTTGAAATGAAGTTTAAGGGTTCACTAATAAATAAATTGTATTCAATTATAAATAAATCAGAACTAAGCATACATATGATGCATAAAAGTCACCTGACTTACACTGTATCTCAAAGAATAAAAGAGCCAATTTTTGATGAGCTTGTTTACTGTATGAAGTCAATAAGGGTATTTCAAACCAAACCTTTCTAACTGTCCCCCGAATGTCTTATTTTTCTCAAAAGCAATTTTTAGATTGTGGAGTCTGAATAATCCATGCAATAACAATCATCTCTTTCATTTGCCTGGTTTCATCTCTACTTAGTATGCTACTGAAGGAAATGCATCACATACATGTCCACCTACTTATGCTGTCAGTGTAGAACAGTATTTTCCTTGGATTACCTTGATTTCTCACTTATCAAAGACATTTTACAATTAAAACAAGCAAGTCATTGCAGTTATATCTATTTCCAAGCTATCTTCGAATAATACATTTTTTAAGATATAAAATTCATACTCCTGTGGATTTGTAAGCTAAAACTTGATTAGTGGGAAATTCACTTAAACTTAAATATTCTATCACCAGGCAAAAAGCTCAGACGCCCATCGTTATCTGGTTACCTGTGTTGGTTTGGTGTTTATTCCGCTCGCAGAGCCATGATAGATAAAAACCTTGCCATTACCATCATAGGGAGCTCCAACTGCAAGGTCTGTTGACAACATCACATGGTAACAAACATTACATTTTTAAAACATTTCAATACAATGTTTTAAGTAAGATAAACACTGGTCAAAAAATCTCGCTACAAATCATAATCATTTCATAATCTATTCTTTTACCTGGGTAGCCATCTTGATTAATATCGCCAATATTTTTGACGGCAATGCCAAACATAGAGTCTTTGGTTCCGTTAAGACGGATTGGCTTGACATTTTTCCACCGGCCTTGCTGGTTCATGTAGACATACACTGCACCGCCAACCTCTCCATCTCTATCAAAATACTGTGGGGCTCCAATCACAATATCCTGCCACCTAAAAGCACACAGAGGGGAGGAACGGTGAACCATCAGCTCAACAGTGAGCTTGGGGAGAGTACCACCAGCCCAGGTACAAGGACACAAAGAGATACATGGTAGAAAGGGCCCCAACTCTGCAATTCTATCTCATCAATTAAAGTATTTTTTAAAACCAAAGAAAAATTATGGAGGTAAAAACATGAAGCCAGTTCCCCGAGTTAGATCTAAGTGCAGAGACTCCCAGTCAAAGATTCCACTCCCCTTCTCCTTCCACTCCAGACCCAAACTGGCACCACCAGCCACAGACCTATGTACTGAGTTTGTCTCCAATCCCTACTTTCAACAGGACATTCTAGATGTTCCAACAACCCCTTAAGAAACCAGAGAAAAGAACCATGTAGGTGTCATTTTCCGAGTTAATGTTTCGCCCCAAATTTTAATTCTCACAGACCCATTCCCGAGACATGAGTAAAAACTAAAAACTGAAAAAGATGTAATCCTATATCTGAGAAGGGTAATGATTGTCTACTGCCAAAATATAAGTGATAGAGGCATGAAAGGATGCTAAACATTTGGCAGCATAAATATTCTTTGAATCAACTAACCTGAAAGGATGGCTCTTCTCAAGACCTACAGGAGCCGAAGAGGCTCCGATTTCCTGACAAATGCGAAATGACTAACATGCTCTCACCCATCTTTGTTGAGGTCCACCACTGCCACGTCGTAGCCAAAGGAAGAAGCCAGACCTTCTCCTTCAAATATGTGCTCGGGGAGAAGGTGTGCAGACTTCATGTCTCTTTTGAGCAAAACCACAGCTCCACTGTGATTGGCCCTCGGAGCACCAGATACAAAAGTGATGTCATCTTTAGAAATGATCCCTTTCCCTGAGTCCAAAGAAAAGCCTAGAAAAGCAAAATACAGCTCACATCAACTCTGTGCTTTAAAGGCATCGAACACTGGTAACTCCTTTCGCTTCCCACTCCTCTCCTTCTGACCCTCCCCACCAGTTATCACACTTACGATATGAAAGAGTCGCAGAGATATGACACAAGTACAAAGCAGTAGGCTATTTCACTGCTTTCTATGGAATATACTAAGACTTAAAGAAAAAAACCTATGCTATTTAGCATCTGTCCAACTTGAATCATGAAAGATTCATTAATCAGCTTGAACCTTATTTTAATATTAGAACTGTGGTAAAAGGAGATCAAATCAGGTACTAAATTACCATAGCAAACTGACATCAGATACACAGAGATACAACCTGATAGAATAATTGAGTGCATGTTGTGGGGTTCTGCTATAACAAATGATTCGTAATGTCCATCTTCATCAGTCCCCTTGGTAATCAGACAAGCATAAATGCCAACTTCATCCATACACCACAAGCGGCATTTCATTATTTTGAACCCACTTAGTTCTCAGACACAAACATGCAAACAAAACCATGATTGATGAGCCACAGCATTTGAGAACACACGCAAACAATAGAGGTGAGCAACTTAGCATCGATATCATTTTGTCAGGAGGGGGCGGAAAGCATTAGAACATCTCCTCGTAAAGCGTCAGGTAGGACGTCCGGTTACAAATACAAGATTTAATTGGGAGGCAAATATAAAAGCCCTTATCAAGACCATTCAAATTAAGCAAGTATTTCTGCAGAGGCGAGGCAGCGGCAGAGGGGTGTAAGGCCACCCTTTTTTATTGGGTTTTATTTATGCAAAGTTTCACCACTACTGTTGCAGTTCTCAAACTGTGTGCAGTGAGTCGAGAAATGGGATGAGCCACCAGTTTAGAGCAGGGCGAGCTAATCGAACCCAGCTCTGAAAAGCATCTGGCGGCAGAGCCTCCCCCGCAGCATGCTTCTCGTGCGGGCTTCACTTGAAATGAAATAGAAAATAAAAAGATTTATGCTCTGTACGGATCCAAAAAAAAAATGTTTTAAATGACCACGACCAAGACAATGGATTTGTCGTCCGGGAGATCACAAACCTAGGTAGCTATTCATCATCACGTCAGGGGACGTGTCGGGCTGCTCCCTGGGAGACTGTGTTTTATAAACAAACTGATCGGGATCCGTGTAGGAAACGCTGGTCAAAAACAGCAGGCCTGTGCACGTGCGAGAAGTGGAAGAGACGGAAGAAAAAGCAATTACGCCGGGTAGGAGGCACCACGGCGACCACCGTTCCTGCTGGATGATGAGGCCACCGCGGCATCTGGCAAGCCACTCTCTCTGCCAGCTTCCCAAGCCGCAAGCAGATCATTTCGTTCCCAAAACCCACTGACTTTTTGAAATGACAGATGCACGGACAGCGTGGACAACTGAAATGTAACCGTAAGAACTTGGGCTTTTTTCCCAGGCAGCCACTTTTGAGGAAATCCATTCTGAAAGCAGCAAATGTGTCAGACCCAAATGTCCCAATGGCAACGAAGCTCGGAAAACCCATGGGCCTCTATCCTAAAGACCAAAGTGTTGGCTTCTTGCCTAGAGCCATTAAAATGAAATGTTTCTCGCCATAAGCTTATCCTTGAATAATGCATTTGAAGAGAGGTTGTCTGTTAAAATATAATCGAATAAAGTATTGGTTTGTGATAGTATTTACCTTGAAAAACCATATTTAGTAACTGAGGCTGAAAACTGCTTGGCCCTGTGTCCCCTTCATGTCCTGCAAAGCCACTCACACACCCAGCAAGAGGGGCAATGATACTCATTTTACCATATTGTTGAGAAGATCAAATGAGACCCGTAAAGCATCACGTAGGTGCTTGACAAGTAGGTAAGTGTAACTTTTCCCTCTTCTGTGCCTTCACACTAAGTTTTTAATTTTTAATTTGGGGGGGAGGGTGTCTGAAAATTTTTAATTAACAGTTCTGTTTATACATACCTATATAACTAGAATAACTTATTTTTTAATGTTATTTTTCAATTAAGTTGACATTTAGAACAATTTTTTAAGAATATGTTTAATACATTATTTAGAATTATTCTTATATTTATTCCTATTTTTTTCTTTCCATTGTTCCAGTAATATCTTTAGCATACGGGTTCTTTTCTTAAAAAAAAAAAATAGGTTACTATTTGGGTTTAGGAGATTTTTTACATTTTTTCCAAGAAATGCACAATAATTATTCTTTATGTCACCTCACACTAAGAATTAAAGCTTTTAAAAGCCTTTGAGTAATTACCATAAGGCACATGAATAATTTAGGACCCATTAGTAATGCAAACACGCCTTAGGAGTTAAGGAACGGGCACTTAGCCATAATCTGGGTGTCCCCACGCTACTTCAGCAAGTCCTCTCGGCCTCGGCTGGGAGGCCCTGTGCCAACCCGCCAGGGCCCGGTGACACGAGGCCCCCATCCAGAAGCAGGGCCATCCCCTGGAGAAAGGCAATCACAGTGGAAGGACTTGAGGGTCTTGACCTGACACTTAAGAGTAACTTCATAAATGTGGCTCTTAGGAGTAGCTCTGGAAAGAGGCCCTGGAGAGAGGGGAGGCAGCTCAGCTCACTGACATCCATGCATTTATTCTCAGCTGCCCGAACTGCCTTTCTCAGGTTGCAGAGGCCAACACTGGCTCAGGAAACAGACTTCCATGCAGAGGACAAGACGATTTTAGGAGGAAGTAGGTTTAGTCCCCACTCAAGGGAGCCTCGGCCAGAAGGGAAGAATCGCAAGCCGCAGAACCACCAAGGCCTACATCAAATCCCAGCCAGTGCAGCCGCAGGCCCCTGGCTCCGCCTGACCTGTTCTCGGCCCAGAAGGCCAAGGTCTCGGGAGGGCAGTGGCCCCCAGAGGCCTCTGCAAAGGTAGGCGTGCCGTCTCCTCTGATTCCTACCTAAGTAACTGTTAGCAGGAACAGGAACTAGACTCTCGTCATGGTCAGTCTCTCCACCAACTTCATAAGGCCCATCTTCAAAGATGTTCATGTCAAAAAAAGTGTTATTCTTTTGTTCTACGCGAACAATCCCTACAGGAGTGAAATGGTAAAAAACAACAACAAAAAGTGAAGATGAAACAAAATAAAACAGGTGGATCCTAATAAAACATTCCTTATGTTATCACACTAAGTACAGCAAGAAAAGTTAGGAGGAAGAAAAGGCAGAGAGAAAGAAATGACTTTTGAGGTTATTGAAGTTAAAAATTATGTCCATGTAAATTTTTATGTCAAAGAAAGTTGTTCTTGTAATAAAAAAAAAAATGGCCTATGCACTTTTATGAATTATCTTTAAAATGCCATGAAAGGAGATGAAAATGGAAAGTTAACTAAATCTACAGAAAAACAATATTTTAAAAATGATGTGAACCTGATGATACTTTACATTTTCTATAATCTGAAATTGTTACCTTCTTTACTATAGTGTAAAATGAAATTAATATTTTGATCTGTTCTTCACTTTAACCAATATCTCATTTTGTAAAATTCTTCATTAAAAAGATTTCTTATAATAAACCCACTATGTGACTTTTTAAAAAGAGTAACCTCCTAAGTCAGGGTTAATAAAACAACAAGATATGTTTCCTATAAATTAAAGCATACATAATTGCTGGGTGTTTTATTATATTATGTATGGCATCTGTTCTTCCTAAAATAAAACTACTTCTAAATTAAATGTGTTGTTTTGATTAGGTCAAAATAACCTGACAAATACCGTTATGTGAAAGATTTGATTGGGGGTGGGGGGGGCAAAGGATACTGCTGCCCAAGGTCACTACGGATCACATACAGGGTAAGTGTTCTCAAGGATTGTATCTAACAGGAATTTAAAAACTTGGAAGTTTTTTAATGGAAAGGGAAAGTTTTCCTGACTAGTGAAAATGTTAAAACCTAAAACTTATCTTAATGACTTCCTTAAAATGTGGGCCATTCTTCCCCCTCCCCATTCCCATGCCTCCTTTCACTACATTACAATGATAATTAAACAATACCATAAACAACTTTTCTGCAAGTTACCTGAAATCATCATCTCAAAATTCCCTAATCTGACATCTACCCTTCTATTAGCAAAAGACTTAGAAGATACTCAATTCTTAATAGTTTTCAGATCACCACCTTAAAATTAAGACTTTCAGCTTCATGAGAGGCAAATATAAAACAGCAATACTACTCATGTTAAACTACTAATGTTAATTATCAAATACTTACAGAAAAAGTTAACTACTTGTATTAATGTAAATTGCTGGTGGAGAAAAAAATCTCTTTAAACATACACTTGCATCCTTATTTGCTTTTAAAAGTCGTATGATTTAGAGATTTTAATATCCTCCCCTACTTCTATAACTTACAAGCACATAGTAACACATTTTGTTTTAATTTAAAGTTTACCAAACCTTGGTGCATATAATAGAAATATGGTCATTCTCATCTCTATTTCTAGAAACACACATGTCATACCTTTCCAGTTGTAAGTTCCCGGGGCTCCGAATACAATGTAGTGAAAGTCTTTAGTAAAAGTAGCTGCTACGCCTTGCTGGCAAGAACCAAACTTTTCATGGCCTCTGAGTCGGCCATCACAGAAACTCCAGTCTCCTCCATCCATCTCATCTTCAATCCTGAGGTTCTGACTCAGGACATAACACCTTCCAAAGATGTCTCGGGATTCCTGCTTTGTGTTAACGTGTTGTCTTTTTTCATATCGATGAGCACATGTCTGCAAACAGATGGAATAAAGTAGCCCACGCATGTCTACAAACCTTATGGTTTTCATTACAAATGGATACAATGATCAACAATAAAAAGGATGTTAAATGTGCCCTCATCCTGGGATTGGATCCGAAACCAGTAAGTCTTCCCCCAAAGTGTCACTAAGAAGACCTTTAACCATAGAAACCATAGGACTTCTGTCTTATTTTCTCCCAAAGAATAATGTCCGGTCTGAACACTGAATGCCAATCTGTAATGTGCAGGTAGTTTATTTATGAATTTAGCTCATGCCAGAGCATGAACAATGGAAACACCTTATTTCATTTTCTTAATTTAATTGGCTTGGTGGCTGTATAAACCTTCACATCAGTCTGTTTCTGAAAATAGCCTGTTGCAGAGGAGAGAAACCATGGGCATATTTTCATAGGAATCAGGCAAACATAGCCAAACCAGACATTTTCCTGTTACCCATACTACTCCCTTATAATCCCAAATCCTAATTTATAACCTAAGCTCTGAGGTAGTTTATCCTATAAGGCAGAGAGAATTACACTGCTGGGAGAGATGAAATCATCTCTATAGTTTTACAGGGTATTCAAAGTGGCACCCACGCAATACAGGCTGAAAATACTTGACAACATACAAGTCTATGTCCCATAAAACAGCCCTTCAATATCAATATTCAATGTCCAGTAAAATTCTCATTTTTTCTCCAAATTCTATAAACACTTGTTACAGCGATCATATTTTGAAGGAGACACAAAAAGATCCTCATACTCCAGCCTGGGGGTCACTTCCCAGGTCACCCAGCATAATCCATCTATCAGACCCTCTCATTTTCCAAACCACTTCTACTCGAAGAAGCTCAGAATAAATCATGAGAGTTTAAACAATCTGACCTTACTTCCCATGACCATTCTCCATATATTTTATTCCTCATCTGTAAAAGTACATGGTTCCTGGGGCCATGTCCAACTTTCTTTTGCTTTTTTTATTCTAAGACCATCTAGAGTTTGAAATAGTCAATGGAATTTTGTTAGTAAGTTCTTTGAATTTGAGTGCTCTAAAGAAAAGCACTGCTGTGCTCACTGCGGTGAGCGGGCACTCGGACACTGTGGAATGAACACGCTCCTCTACTTACCACCACTTTGCCGCCGGGACCCTGGCTCTGCACAGTGACCCCCATCCACTGGTCTTCCTTGCTTTCCGAGGTAGGGTCGGCTGTGGGAAGCAGCACAGGTCACACAGTTAGGACTTCACAGTGACTGAAACAGGCGATGAACCAACAGATGAATAAAAACACAAGACACTTTTCTAAATAGCATTGAGTCCAAGTGTAACTGCTTAGTAAATTCAGCTACTCAGTCCAGAAAAATTACTTCTCATCTTAAGAAAACACATGGGTGATTGTTGGTAAGACTCTTGCATAAAATTCTTTACAAAACATACATAGGCTTGCCAGGTGGCCCTTCACCCTCTGACACCCAGTGTCCGGACTACAGAGAGGTATTTGAAAAGTTAAGACTTCCAGCTGCCAAAATCCAACTACCATCCAAACTAACAGAAAGTGTATGCTTCTCTACACACTCCCAAATCTGCTACATGCAGCATGAGCTGTTCTCCTCAGGTTCATTTTGTATTTTTCTACCGATGCCAACAAAGAAAGGGGTGTATTTCTTTTCACTCCTTCTGCCCCCCCAAAAGAAAGAAACCACAAATATCACCACGTGCTCATTTCAATACCAATCTGAATTTACTGTATGTCCTTCTAGCCAAATTTTTGCCCTTCCTCAATGAGAAGCATGGCAGGCAACAATTTTCAATCTAGAATCATTACAAAAACTATGGAAACTAAACAACTTCAAGTAGACAGAAGGGAAATGCCAAAATGTTAAATAAAAAGCGATTCTGTCTACATTACCAGTGGGTTTTCTTTATAGGTCACTGCCATTTACAAGTTTCCCATAATTAACATGTATTATTTTCTAATCAGAAAAAAAGCCAGTTCTAAAAGATGAAAAAGCAAGAGAAGAACATAAAAATAAAACATGAATCTACAAATCTACTCAGACCACGTATGTCAAATGAGGTTTGGTTGGAGCTTCTCAGTCGCTAATAATTGCTCTGCCCAACATACAGTCCTCACAAAACCAGCCTGTACCTGAGACAGTAGGGAAAAATTTATCCATGTTGGTCGGCTCATTTCAGAGAGATCTTAAATTTAAAATCGGCTTTCTCCCAAATACTTAACGGCAAGAGAGAACTTTGGGCTGCCATGTACTAGACATGCACATTCAATTCTCTTCCCTGCTCTGAATTCAGCTTTTCAGCAGCCTCCTGTAGAACTTCAACACGTCGCTAGGTGGCAGCATCAACACACCGTATCAGGGCTAGGAGGAGCCGCAATACTGTGCATCTCAATGGGATTTAGAAAGTAGTAAATGTTTTCAGGGCAAACAAGAAACAGTTAAGGCTGATGCAATTACAAGTGCCCGCCCTCTCTCCAAGAATGCATGCTGGTCCCCCTTTCCTTCCTCATGGGAAGGGCAAGCGGGGTACCGAGGAGCTGGCCCAGGGAACACTGAGTGCGCGCAGAACACACCATCGTTGTCAAACTCAATCCGTGTGCACGGGTCCCGAGAGGTGATGTCGCAGCTGTACAAGCCTCCTGTCCGGTTGGCCCTCTGCAGCGGAAGGGCCACTGCCCGAGGGGCCCCCACCAGCAACCTGTGGACAAAACAGAGAATTGGGGCTGTGAGTTTAATACATCTCAGCCAGTCAGTACTGAGATACTGGGCTTACGCTTTGTCAAGGAGTCCACTAAGTCTCTGCAGCCTAGGCAGGGGGGGCGAGCAAAGGTAGAGTCCTGTGACTGCAACACACACACATGCAACTCCTGCGCAAGTCAAGCACAAGGAGACGGGCTGCTGAAACCAAACAAAAAACACGTCCGTCTCTCCCATCGCTCCTAGTACAGCAGCTCTCTCCCGGGTACGATTCTGTTGTTTTAATAGACAGTTTTCATAGAACATGACCCCTTCACCTAAGCCAAAGAGATCCAATGGAGCTCAACAGACAAAACCAACAGTCAGTCTCACAATGGAAGGGGGGGGAAATTATCACATTAAACATAACAAGTGATAGAAAATGCCAATTTCTAATGTGTACTGTGTCTTCCTGAGGTATTTTTCAAAGGTAATTTTTACTAGACCCTAGATTTCAGCTTCTGTATTGTTAAGTGAGTTAAACCAGAACGCTATTAGACTGGCGTGGCTCTAATGTGATAGTGGCCTACGTGAGGGGAAAAAAGAAATCTCAGCTTGTAAATGTCTCAAGGTTATCAAGTCAAACCCCAAGGACAACCAATCACACACAGCCAAGGAGGCTTTAACTTAACTTATAGCTGATCAAGTCCTCTCCTTTCTTTGCTTCCTTGCTTTGTCTGTATCAATCTTTCCCCCACTCCTATTGCTGGAGCACTCCTAACCTCTTCCATTTTGGCGATTTGAATCCATTTTTGCTCAAATAAACTTGTAAAAATTTTAATATGCATCAGTTTGCTTTTTTTTAACGATAATGATTTAGCACCTAACCTTTGCCCAAGATAAAACTCAATGAATTCCTCTCTTTTGCAGTTGGCCTCTTTCCCCATCAATTCTTACTAATCTTGGCAATCTTACCATCTCTGACAAACTCCTCCACTATCACCCAATCGGTCTTGCATAAAGGATTCAGGGAGGGTCTGGGTGGTTCCATGTATGTACTAGACATCATAATATCGCTTCTTTCTTCCCACCCCCCTCCCCCCAGTGTTCATGCTATCTCCTCTAAGAGGGGCCCCTGACCCAAACACACAATCCTCAAAATCTCAGTTTCACAGCCAGGAGGGATCCTTGGAGACCCACAACCTTTCTGCTGGGTTCCTTTTGCTAACGCTCTTTACTCACCAGCAGTTTTACAATCTTTGGGATCTCGCTGACTGGTGGGGACAAATGCTTAAAGAAAGAACACACTCCTGACTGGACCGAAAGAAATGAGGCTGGAACTGAGGAAAAGAGCCGAGAAAACGAATATGAACAAACTACCAATTCCCCCAAACAGAAAACAAGGCACTCCTGGCCTTCAAGAAATCCACAAACCTCAGACACAGAAGCAAAAAAATCAACCCACAAAGCAAGCAGTCCCTACCACCTCTGCCTCCGCTGTGATCCCACTGAAGGACTGAATGAATTTTTTTTTTTTTTTAACCAACGCAATGCAGTGGGTGCAACGGGTAGAAAATGCACTCAGAAAAAAAGAGGGGAACCAGGCTGTGCCCAGGTAGAGCCAGTGAAGCAGGGTCTCACAGACAGAGTGAGGTGTGACTCATGTGGGAACACGCATCCCTAACACCATCGTTCCTCCCAGACCCCTTCATGCTGGCCCAGTCAGCCGCCACCTCCAATCCTCCCTACCCTTGAAGGGAGGAAACTAATCACACCAAGGTTCAGAACTGGAACGGAGTCTGAGCAGGACCGAGGTGGAGCCCTTGGTGCCTGGAACTTCTTGGCAAAGCAAGGCCAAGGGCCACAGGGGTCTCCATGGAGCTGCCCCACACCGATTCCATTCATGTCCATGATCCCAGGAGCTCTGACAAATAGCTGAGAGGTGACCTGGCCTGGACTGTGAGCAAACAGGTTCAATTACCTGGCAGGTGTGGGGACAGAACCCTGTCCCAGGTCCTGGCAGGGATAAGCCAGGTGTGGGGGTCGGAATCACAGTCAGGAGGTGTGAGCAGAGGAAGCACAGAGAGCACATCCCGCCTCTGGCTAGATGGGTGGAGAAGAGAGACCTGTGGAAGGAGGGCGAATGCTCTGTCTTAAGGTCTCACAACTAGTTGGTAGCCCAGACAAAAATTACTTTGGAGCCGCGCTTTCTCCGTCCTTTTAAACGGCTTCATAGGAACTAGAACGCAGGACGTTAAGGCATTTACCACCCGCTGAAAGGGCAAACCCTACCCAGATGAAACACTGAAATAAGACCTGCACCGCATGCAAGACTCAATGCGGGAAGGCAGCGGGGGGGAGGGGGGCAGTGCCACTGCAGTGGGCGGGGTGAAGATCGGGGAAGAGATTTCCTATAAAGATAACCAACTCCGACCGGAAGGCTCGAAGGAGCAGCCCAGAGTTCCAAGATTATTACTGTATCTCCTCTGACCACCTCCTCTTCTCCTCGGCCACGCCCAAGGAGGCTGGCAACCTACCTGGGGCAGGTACAGGGCTTGTTGTTTCCTGTGTACTGTACTTGCTTATTCATTCCACAGTCAAGAGCCTCCTAGGCTGAATAAGGACTCATCTCCTCCCCTTCCTGCCAAACTGTCCCTTGTGGAGCCAGAGCCATGAGCTGGTCATTAAACCACAGGAAGGTAGAGGAAAGGCGAGGGCGGGCCAGAGTGCTGTGCGCAGCCAGAGGAGGGCGCCAAAGCCTGCCTGGGAGGAAGGCATCACCCAGAGGTAACTGGAGCTGGAGGGGCCAGGTGAGGAGCAGAGAGCCAGAGGGAAGGCTGAGAGGGAAGGAGCCAGAGGAGTAGGAGTGATGAGATGGAGCCACGGAGCCCCACACTTCCGCCGCCTGCTGTGCCCTGCGGGAGACAGGTGTTTCCTTGCATCACGTTGTGTAAAAAGCTGCAGAGATTATTCCACTTACAGAGCAGCACTTCCTCCCAGCACCTTTTCTCTTGGCTGTGTCCTAGGGTTTCTCCCTACTTGGTACACCTCCATCTTCCATGGAGTCCCTTACCCTTGTGGCTAAGGAACCACCTGGGATGGAAGAAGGCAGGGGTGCTCTGTGGCCTTAGGTCCAGGCCCAGGCAGCCAAAGGAGGAAGAGCAGACACTCATGGGGGGAGGGGGTGTCCCTGGGACCACACATACAGAAAAACAATGATTGGGGGAGGGGTTAATCAGATAAAATCAAAGTCATGGAAAAGGTAAGGTAGCACCTTAATGGGAGAACACAGTCACCCCAACCAAACTCAATAATTGGCAGGTGTCTTAATCCTTGCAGTAAAGCTAAAGCTGCCCTCTCTGGTTCAGGAAATAGGCAAACTCTTCATTCTGCTCAAAACCAGCCTTCATCACAGGAGGAAACAGCCATTAGCTGAGGCTGCGTCTGGCAAGAACAAATCAAAAACAGAGCTGTGTCCAGTCAGTGACACTGTCCCTGGTGCAACCCATCTACTTCCTAACCCAAGTCCTTCAGGACCCTGGTCTACGCCATTGGGAACAAAGCCAGCTCCTGAGCCAGCAGGGAGAGCACAGCTCCCGGAGGGACAGTCTGCATCTAGGGGACCCCTGGGACACACCAACACCCAGTTTCTGCTCAAACCCCAGCTTCCTTCCCTTTGCCCCCAATGCCCTTTGATGCTGGATTCAGAGAGCAGCAGGCATCTCTGGGCACCACCAGAAGATACCCACAGCAGCTCCTGGCACCTGGGCAGCAGCTGCCAGGCTGTTCAGCTCATTTCCCTTAAGAAGCAGAGCAATAGCAGCTGCTCTTAGTGCTGACCCACCCAGTACGTGTGGAGGAACCCAGAAACAGTAACAACGTTCAGAGTGACAGGGACTAAGCGATATAAATTATGGCCTCCAATGGGAAGTAGTGGAAATCAACAGAACAGTGTCTAAGAAGCCTATTTCCATATCAGATCCAAAGGAAAACTGCATCAAGGAAGGGTAAGAATTTGGGTTTAAACTAAGATAGTTTTAGACACCAAAGGAACAGGAAAAATTATTTCTGAAATTGCTTTCCACACGGCAGTGGATAATGACCTCCACTATTTTAAAGCCATACTGACATAAAAACGCCTGGGGATTCCAACATATTGAAAAACCCACATTTAGAAGACACAACAGCCCTAGCTGCTTTGGCTCAGTGGATAGAGCATCAATCAGCCGGCCAACTGAAGGGTCCCTGGTTCAATTCGCGTCAAGGGCACATACCTGGGTTGCAGGCTCAATCTCTGGCCCTGGTTGGGGGTGCATGCAGAAGGTAGCCAATCGATGTTTCTCACATCGGTGTTTCTCTCTCTGTCTCTCACCCTCCCTTCCACTCTCTCTAAAAATCAATGGAAAAAATACCCTCGGGTGAGGATGAACAAAAATAAAAAATAGAATACAGGACAAAAACTGATGAGGAATAAAATTTGTAATAGTAAAATGCAATGTAAAAGGCTAACCACACAAGTGAGACTGTAACTGAGAATATAATATAAATTCAAGTCGTTGAGTCTAGATCAGAATTCTCGGCACAAAGATTCAGGACTCCCTATCATGCTATTAACCACAAGGTTATTTCAACAAACTTATTCAAATAAGCCACACTCCAGTTTCCTATAGTCAAGTTCTCACCCAATTAGCATACTTTTATATAACTACTTCAACCCAAAGTCTTAAATACTGGGGCACTTTCCAAACTCTGGGGACAATAGCAGCTTTGCTTCATTGTTTTTGGCAATAATTCATTTCCTCAAGGATTAAAGATCCTGCCTGCAGCCATGCAACTTTGTCTCAGGAAACATGAAATATTGCTTCATTAGAACAAGGACACTATTCTTGCTTAATTTAAAACACAGCCTAGCCTTCTTAGTTTGTCCAAATTAAGCCTTAAAAAATTAGGAGATGGCATTAACCATTTCAACTGTTACCTCTTCATTTAACCCATCTTCAAAGTTAGTTTTTTTTTTATTTTTGTTAAAGTAAAAAATACA